CTTATTTAAATAAGTTGCGAGAAAATGAGATCTGATTACAAGCGGTCAGGCGAGACGCATGCGGAGACACATGTTAATGTCTGGTGTGAACAAGGCCTTAGATAGACAAGATTAGATTGAGACAAAAGGATAGACAGATAGAGGCCTCCAGCCACCAGATGGCAGCACCACTCACCAGCCTGCTTATCTCCTCCTGTCTGTCAGGTGCAGAGCGCGCTGTGGCTTTGATCATGGTGGAGGTCTGATTATCTGTCAGTTTCTTGATGCAGCGCTGCCCCGCCACAATGTTACACACCTGGAGGGACGGGAGCCAGTCAGACTACGCCGACGTGGGCCAGCAGCCATACTGGGGAATCGGCCAGTGAACCGCCCCAGCAAGCCTTACCTCCAGGGGCAGGTAGGTGTGCTTCTGCTCTTGGCCCACCTGCAAGCAGGGCAGGTGGGGGTACTTGAGCTGTAAGCTGTATTTCTCTCGGAAATACTGGGCCACAGTGCGCTCCACCGTCTGCCCGTTCTCCAGCTGCAATGGGAACCTGCAGAGAAGAGGGGGACAAAGATGGATGTGTGGCTCCTGCCTTTCTGTCCCGGGTGGCCGGAGGACTAAGTGGAGCTTCATCGCAGGTAGGAGCACTAAAAAAAGACGAGCAGAGGGTGCAGCCGGAAGCTCTGCATTCCAGCAGGCTGGCTTAGACAGACGGACAGCAGTGACTTTCCGTCTCTCTCCTCTAACTCCACCTGTTCTCAGCCCGCTCCTCACAGATGCACTCCTAAAATGCATTGTTGCATAATTCAAAAAGAATGTGTGATCAACATAAAGTTGAAAAGTAGAAACTGTAGGTTTCTGTGTAAGGGCGTAGTGACTAAGGAGGGGAGGGTCCTGCGGCAGAAACACATGGGACGTGAGAGCAGGAAAACCCTGAGTCCCAGCCAGTTTCCTCGGCTGCCCGTCACTGTGACTACAGTGACATCACAGATCGTCATGGCAACCTCCAACACCCCCAGTAAATGTTAGTCGCGCAGGCACACTCACGTCTGGTGGCTGGCTGGCCGCCGCGTCACGTTACATACGCGGTACTTCCTCCGCATGGTTCCACAGTGCGTCACCTCCACCTTGAGGCCTGGGGGAGAGAGGCAGCCGCATGGTTAGCCCACACACCTCAAAACACCCCCTCCCCACCCCTGAATGACATCAGCTCCACTCCCACCACACTCCACATGCTCACAGGTATAAGGCCCATACATTTATGGACTGCTATGGGTGCAGCATAAGGGAGGACAGCAGGAATTGTACAGGCTAATGCAGTGACTGGTCTTACCTTTAATCTCTTTGGTGAACTTGACCCGATGGGAGTCTGTGAGGGGGCGTGGCTGCTCATCGATGTTGTGGATGTCCAGGACCTCACACATGAACTGGATCACAGGCTGTGCTTTGTAGAAGGCCGTGGCGGAAACTGTAGGCAAAAAAAAGCGAAGGGGAAGGGGGTTATCAGAAGTGGCGGAAGACCGGGACCAACAGGAATGCCAGAAAGGAATGTTCTGGCATTCTGTGTTAAACTTTGACAAAGTTTAACATCTTATTTTCATTTCACTTCTGTGCAGACAGACACTGAGACTATCCGTGTGCTTAGAAGTGTCTGTTCAAATAAGGGCATATTTAATCACCGGAAAAAGAACAGTCAGTGTAATCGAGCTTAAGCCACGGCTCCCAAAACGGATCAGTTTTACAAAAACGTTAGAAGTGATCTGCACGAGCAGAGGCCCCAAACACCACCTGTGTGAACAAGCATTTCACCGTTTCACTGCAGCTCAGCCAGCAAGCAGGAAAGTACCTGCCGTGTTACCAGAGGCCCTGCTCAGAGCCGCTCTTTCGTGGGAACACAAAAGCCAACACAAAGGCTCCAGATATGCTCTGATAATGGGTCCGGCAGCAGGTGCAGGCCCACGGAGGCCATGCGAAGCCAGAGGAAAAGCCGTATGGGTGACTCACGCCAAGGTGCGCAGCTCCCTCGGGCACAAACCAACGGACACATGGAAAGTTGAGCGGCTGTTGATTTGGACTCTGATCAAATCATTCTTTAGCATGGACATGACACCATGTTTCCTCTAACTCAGGGGTGGCCAATCATATCCAAAAAGGACTGATGTGTATGCGAGTTCTCATTGCTAATTACATTAGTAATTAGAGGACTGATTGACTGAAGAGTCACCTGGCTTTGACCAGCTGACCGAAAGGTTATCCCAAAAACCTACATACACACTGGTCCTTTGCGGATAGGGTTGCCAGCCGTGCTGTATCCACCAGGGAACACCGCTATTATCCCCCACAAACCATATCTCTCGTCTCTAAAGGCACAGAGGACACACTTGAAAGGGACTGGTAATGTTATGAGGTCACATTAGATTGTGTGTTTGATCTCGACTGCAGCGCAGCCCCTGAGCACCTTCTAATGCCATGCTCCCCCCGTGATGCCATGAATAAAGGCAGTGACTGCCAGGCAACCCAGCTTCTGGAGGCCATGCTTTGCCATGCAGTACGGGCAGCTGGGTAAACGCTGGCACCTCTGGGGAGCCAAGCCAACGCCGCCGACAGGAACCAGGAGAACACAGCCAATCCTCTGATGTAGTTCGCTCTTAGGTGCAATTTTGGGGGGGGGGGTGCGGGGGACACAGGCTTTTACATGAATTTAGATGCACCCCCCATGCACGGCTTCATCCCTATGACAGCAACCCTTGAATCCTCACCGTCAATGTTGAGCATCATCTTCCACATGGCGGGCCGCACGGACTGGTGGAACCCGAACCACACTTCCCTCCCTCCTCCCAGGGGATGGTCGTAACCCTCTGGTGCAGAGAAAAATGACCGGCCCACTGGGGTGTACCTACAGACAAGAATGCACGTCAGGCTGGCTGCTCCGCAGACAGAAAATCTGATCTGAGATCAGCTTACACAGGGCTGCATACTGATCGGATACGCCCACATGCATCAACATACTTCATGGAAGGCAGGTGGCGCAGGACCACGTCCACAGCATGCACCGGGTTGGTGCTGATGGGCTTGTCCAGCTCCAGGGGTTCTGGCATCCCACGACCCGTCAGGACCTCATGAAGCAGGTGCCAGCTGACCAGCGACACAAACTTGATGCTGACCTTGAAGGGCCGGTCCTTCCCTCCCTCTCCCGGCAGAGTGACATCCAGGTCGACCTATGGGAGCACAGAGACAAAACCTCTAGCACTCTAGCAGGAATGCTCAGGAGGAACTCAGGAATGACCGAATGGTAATTCGGAAAACGACTCACCCGAATGTCACATTTTCTAATTTCTACTACGATTCACAGTGTATTTTGAAAAGCCTTATTGATGTTCGATGTTAATAGTTCCCAGTTTTCAAGGCGTTTTAATGCAAGCTGTGGTTTGCAGAAACATTGCTTCCAGCAGACCTTAGCAGCCCATGCCAGCTCTGCAGCTCCCACCGCAGGTAAATGGCCACAGTGTCCTACAGCCACCTCATTCCATAAACTTTTTGCTCAAAAAGAGCATGAATGCCTAACCACTACCTTAATGGGACTGTTGAAGAGCTAAGATGGTGCTTCTTACCCCCGTGGGAGCCACTGGCAGTGGGTTGGCTGTGTAGAGGCTCTTTTTGCCATCGTAGACTGGCCTGCGGTCCCCAAAAATGGTCACCTTAAAGTGCTGCACCATGGAATCCACCACTTCCCTGTAAGACAGCGGACATACAGTCAGAGCGGACAGGAATGTTCAATGACATGCAGAGTGTCATGCTTATACTGTTACGTCGGACCATCTCATTTATTACTTTCCTACAAGAATGTTATTTCATGCATCATATCTGTATATCAACTGACAATAAAAGACAGTTTGACCTTTTTCACTTGAGTTTTAAGAACAAGATCCATGTTGTACATAAATTCTCCGACACAGCTGTTCATCCAGCACAGTAATACTGGATGGTTTCTCTATATGAGCAAGGAAAAAGGAGGGCTATGAACAACAGCCAGTGGAGGAGGGCTATGAACAACAGCCAGTGGAGGAGGGCTATGAACAACAGCCAGTGGAGGAGGGCTATGAANAACAACAGCCAGTGGAGGAGGGCTATGAACAACAGCCAGTGGAGGAGGGCTATGAACAACAGCCAGTGGAGGAGGGCTATGAACAACAGCCAGTGAAGGAGGGCTATGAACAACAGCCAGTGAAGGAGGGCTATGAACAACAGCCAGTGGAGGATCCAGGTAACTAGGGCTGCACAATAACATATCGCGGTGATTTTAAATATTTGCACTCTTTAATCTATAAAAGAGATCAAATTTACCCAAAATAAACTGTCAAACAGAACTTATCTACCAATAACGTATATCAAATAAGTCTGTGTTGCTGCCGCGAGTTATAAACAGACATTAATCATTGCCGACAAACGTGATGCGATTACAGGGTTTTAGATGACGGGTGTAAAAAATTTCCAGATGGCAACTTTTCAGTACTATACGGGCCGACTTACTCCCATAGTTTGATAAGCTGATTAGTAATAAGCCTAAAATATTAATGAGATGCATATTGTGATGCCCAAAAGTTCATAATCTATAAATCTGGTGTATCCCTATGTTTAATATCCCCTCTTTTAAAAAGATATCGTGGCTGCTGAGCTGTCCCATTGCTCACCGTCACTTCAGTGCTTATCGCTTCCGTGATACAACAAAAGAGTAGCATGTGCTGCGGTCCGCTAACCGAATTTAATAAGCATAAGGATACACCAAATTTATACAGATTACTAAATTTTTTATTTACTATTTTAGGCATAATACTGATCTGCTTATTTAATTGCGGACATAAGTAAATACCAGTGGAGTAGCAAAAAGCGGGAGTCCGGACAAACGTTTACGCCCGTCATCTCAGGCCCTGGTGATTATTGCGGAAGTGCACACATCCTGATTATAATCGACAGTAGAAGTGCAGCCTACACCAAAAGACAGCTAAAGCTGGGATTATAAGCATGTAACTCAAAGCACTGCTCTCACTTGCAGTTCCCTGTAAAATGGAACTCCCAACGGTGACTCCCAGGCGGTGCCTACTCTACCTGTTGACTCGGCGTGGACACTTCTCAGGCTTGATGTCCACCTCATAGAGGTAGACGTCCATCTTGGGGATCTCCACCTGGAAGCAGTTGGCCAGCAACTTGATAGGCTTCCCCATCGTGCCATAGCCAGGGCGTCGTGGCACGGAGAACAGGGGCTGGGCCCCAACGGCTCCTGGGTGGCAAGGGAAAGGGAAGCAGGTCACCTTCTAAGAGTAAAAAAAAAGTAGCTTTTCTAGGCAGCCCCCCCCCACAATCACAAGGCTGCAGATAGGTACACCCGATAAAAAAAAAAAAAAAAAACACCCTACAGCCCAAGTGCGTAGAAATCGCAGCAATGACAATATTGGAACAGAAGGTGACACTTGTGTGCACAAGCTGCAAACATACTTCGGGAAATTAAATGGGGAAGTCACCTATAAGCGTCTTTATGTTTGGCCATTAGACAAAGTGCGGTGGAAACTCCCTTTTAATCGGAACACATGGCGAGACACTCCTACGTGAACGACCAGCACTAATGGGCCCATACTTCCTGCATTAATGAGGATGCTGCTGCTCTCACACGACTCATCTTAATGGGGCGGCAGAGACACTCAACCCGGCACAACACTCGCTGAGTACACGAGCACGCTGGGTGGCTCGCGTCGATGCGCATGGGACTGGGGAGTCCGCGAGGTCACGCCCAGGTAGCTGAGCAAAGACGACACTGTTGCTTCTGTTCCCGCAGCATCGGGCCCAAACTCCCCCCCCCCCCCCCCCCCCCCCCCCCCCCCCCCCCCCACTTAAGCCCTGCCCCCCTGTCATACTGGAAACCACGCGGTTTCCTCTCGTATGAAGTCTGTACTGTTTGCAAAACCTCCTGAAATGTGTCACTAACAAATGTCTGGTAATAAGTGAGTCACACTTGTATATTAGTCACATGTGTCCCAAATGTTGTGAGGTGGCCTCTCTGGGGAGCCCAGTGTAATACACAGACAAGCGGAATCACCCGTCCAGGGTGCTGGCAGGTACTTCAGCTTGTTGCAGACTGTGGACCTCTGCACTCTCCTCCACCCTCCTGGCCTAGTTCATTCCATGACACTCTGCCTTTTGGCAGCATGAGCCCTGGAATTCCAGCAACAGATCCCCGTATGCTGCCCATTATCATGGAAATCGCGAAGGGGCCTCCGTCGGGCTAGCTGAACTTGGCAAAGGTTACCTCCCCCACCAGTGCAGATACAGAAGCCTTCGCCCATACGGTCGTCTCCTCGAAGGAGGCGAAGGTGGGGGCCGCCCCGGGCCGAGGGGGGTGTTTACAGCTTTCATCCTCCTCGAAGGCAGCCCGACATGACATACTTCACATGACACTGAGCCAATGCCAAACCTTTTCGGAGGGGAAGAGAAACACAAGGACGAGCCTGGCAATCCGGGATCCCCCCCCTCACCCTTGTGCAGGGAGGGACGGACAGAATGGTGGGGGAAGGAGTGCGCAGAGACGGCACAGACGGGAGCAAAGACCGGTCCACAAGAAACGCATCGTGTTTTCCCTAAACCTCTCAGCTTCCTGTTTGACAGCTGCAGGTGCGTCATATTTCCAAAAAGCATTTAGACTAAAACATGACAGGGGGCCGCTGCTGAGCAGGGTCCCCTTGTAATGGCACATCTAGTGGGATTAGTCTGTGCTTTAAAGACATGAGAGCGCAGCAGCGACTGATCGTTGGCTGCCTACGCAGGTCGTCACAGGACAGGCCAGAGAACACCTCTGCGAACACAGGCACTAGGCCGGCGGTACAGCTCTCCTTGGCATCACACCAGAGCTGCCTGTCCTCAAGTCACCCGCGGGCGGGGGGGCACCCATATATGGCAAACATGCCCAGCACTGCGAAACAGGGTGGGTCGTCGACGCGCTGCACAATTGACCCCATGCAGATTCATGTGCAGCTGAAATGCACAGACCCGTGAGGCTGTCACTCAGGTTACGCTTTATAACAAGAATAAAACTGCACAACATGAAGCAGGAAAACAACACAAAACCTCGAGGTCAAAGGCAGATTAAGAGCTGGAGACATGGAAAACGGCCCAAAGTAGCCGGGATACTGGCATCAGTGCCCCAGGAGCCTCAGTGTAAACACACTAACATCTATTATACAAGTCAAGGGGCCATCACTACATTGAATTGTTGGTACACTTTCTATATTTAAGCAATGATCGGGTGCATCCAAGCAATGATCGACAGAGCCCAGCAAAAACTAAAAAAAAAAAAAAAAGGCTTGATCTTCAGTAGCAAAGAAAAGAGCCTCAGTGAAAACCCCTAGATTTTGGTGATAACTACTTTTAAAATTACACCCTTCCAGAATTTGTATCTGAAGTATTTCCAGGAGAGTTTTAAATCACCAATATGTAGTTACAGGGCCTGGCCAACTGTAAAGCAATGTTTTAAAACCTGTGAATATAGTAAGTGCTGAATCAAGGATGGCGGTTTAATTATGATACAGCATAAATATTCGGGACTGATCAATCCTCTATGCAGCCACTGCAGAAAGACACATTTAGCAAAGCATAAAGCAGTGAAATGAAACACTTAAGCACACACACTTAAGCTAAACAAGTAAACACTCACTGTATCTGGCGCTTTGAAAACTGACTGGATGGAAGCCACTGACTTGCCATTTGCCAAACCAGACAATAGCACAGGTGAAATTTATCATCATGTAATCTATCCATTGTCCAATCAGGCAGCATAGGGCACAAGTTGGTTGAAACCCTGGACAAAATGCTAGTCTACTGCAATGTATGCATACTAAGGATAGCCAAATTCACCAATTTGCATCAGTACACCGGCATAAAGGTTCACAAAGTGATTACATCAAAAGAAAAAATAAAATGCACTGAATACAATTTTGGAATAACTCGAGATATAAAGATGTTACGATTTTACAGATGCATCAGTTCCATTTGTTTATGTTTATAT